TACATACAAAGCCTAACTATTTCTGTACACAAGGCAGACCAGCATCTTCTGCTGACTTACTCCATGCTTTATGAATTCTTCCAGTGTCCACCCTTGCTACATTTCCAATTCTCTCCAACACAAATCATCAGATCACGTCACTGCTCCATTGAAAACTTTACAATTTGCCATCCAAAGACACAGGGACATTTGAGCCTTTTTCTGACCTGGCCCCATCTATTTCCTAACCCCAGCTCCTAAGTTCTCCCTACCTTCACAGTATTCTTGACACATTGGTCTTTTCATTGTTTCTTGAACTCATCAGGATCCTCTTGCCAGAAGGGCTTTTCATTAATTATTCATCTGCCTTTGGTCTTTCCGCAGCTACCCTATCACTCCCTCCCTCACCTCCTCCTAGTTTTTGTTCAAAGAGATCTTGTCTTTGGGAGCTTTCCCAGCCACTGTATTTAAAATTCCAATAGTCTCTATCCATGCTTTTCCATGGCAATTATCACCATCAAAGGTATCTAATGCATTTTAATTATTTTCTTAATTGTTTGTGTCCTTTTCCTCCAATAGAAAGTATGGTGAGCACTGGGGATTGTATGTGTTTTTATTTCTTTCTGTATCCTCAGTGCCTGAAGCAATGCCTAACATCTAGTAGGTAGGTGAATGAAGAATGTATAATATGATCAGATATTTAGGAAGAAAAGGGAAACATAATTGGGAAAGAGAAGGTGGAACTTTTCCTTTTGTAAAAGCAACTTGTTAGAAACACCATGGGGCTCTCTCCCTTTTTGTCTCTGTCTCACAGAGAAAAGGAGAAATAGGAATAATAAAAGGAACTATAAACCAGTCATTGATGACTCACGCCTGTAATCTTAGCTACACAGGAGGCTGAGATCTGAGGGTTGCAGTTCAAAGCCAGCTCTGGCAGGAAAGACTGTGAGACTCTTATCTCCAATTAACCAGAAAACTGGAAGTTTGCCATGGCTCAAAGTGGTAGAGTGCTAGCCCTGAACTAAAGGAGCCCAGAAACTGTGCCCACACCCAGTCAAACCCCACTACTGACAGAAAAAAAAAAAAAACTGTATAGTCAAGAACAACCATCAGTCCTCCTCTGAAGTTGTGTTCCAAAGAAGGGAGGGGATACATTTCGAGTGCTGAAAATACAGAAAATATTAATACAAAAGATTCCAAAAGTTTGATAACATGTTGGAGATGATGTGGAAAAATATGAACTTTTAGACACTTTTTTTTTGGTGGGGTGAGGCCCTGGGTTCAACTCCTCAGTACCACATAAGCAGAAAAAAAGCCAGAGGTGGCACTGTGGCTCAAGTAGTAGAGCACTAGCCTTGAGCTAAAGAGCTAAAGGCCCAGAGTTCAGCCCCCCACAACCACCACCACCAAAGAAAAAAGAAAGAATTAAGCAGAGTTACTGGAACCTAGCAATTCTACTTTTAATGATACACCCAAGAGAAATGAAAACATAACCACAAAGAAACTTGCACATGAATATTTATTTTTAAAAAAGATTGTAATAGACAGAAACCAAAAATCCATCACAAACTAATTTATTAACAAAAATATGGGACGCTATTCAATGCAATAGTATTTGACTATAGGAAATAATGTTCTGATATATGCTACCACTTGAATGACACTTGAGAAGATTATGTAGCCAGTTACACAATGCCATCTAATATACGATTCTACTCATATTATAGTTTAGAACAGGAAAACTAGAGAGACAAAAAAGCAAACTAGTGGTTGCTTACGTCTGGAAGGGAACTATAAAAGGGAGCTAAAATGTACTAGATTTCTTTATGAATTGAAGATCACATTCTAAACTTGACTGTGGTAATCCTTTCACATAGCTTAGGATACAGTGGAACTCACTTAATTATGTATTTTAAGTGGATGAATAGTATGGCAAGGGAATTACATCTCAAGAACGAAGTAACAAATTTATACAGCAAATATGATTGGGGAGTAGGACACTGTCCAAATGCTAATCAGCATCAAAAGGTAGATTTCCCTTTCCATGACCCCTGGCTGCCTCTGGTACCTCCTCTTCTCCCCCGTGGCTATTGCTCCTGTATTGCCTTTCCATGTGCTCATATTAAAATGGCTTTCTATCACCTCATCATCTCCAGAGGAGACATTCTTCCTCTTCTACAACTTTCTACGTCATTTTTCCTTTTTTATGGTACTAAGGTTGAACTTGGGACCTTTGTGCTAGGTAGGCAGGTGTGGTACCACTTTATTCATGCTTCCAGCCCATTCTCCATATACCTTCCATGCAACTTTATCACAAGCACGCCTTGCCCCAAACTCTTAAATATAGCTCCAAAGCAATCACATGGTAAGTACTTGGTCACAATTTTTAGACTACATCCCAGAACATAACCACCATTTCAGTTAGCTAATTGTGATAGTACTCAACAGCACTCAAATCATTAAAACAATTAACTTAATTCACTATATTAACTTTGTATATTACTTCTTTCCACATTGTTCTATGTGAATATATGTTTGACACTGTGAAAAAACCTTATGCAACACAGAGACTCATGAAATGCCACAATGAGAAGTGACTTCAGATAATGTTTAGATTCAGTTCTCTCATTTTTTAATTAAAGAAAGTAAGGTTTAAAAGGAAAATTGACGTTTCTATTGTCACTCAGAAAAACAGCCAATCCCTATTCATGACTCTTTCTGTTCTAACCCCATCACCAACACAAAAGAACCAAAACCTCAGAATGATTACACACACACACACACACACACACACACACACACACACACACACACAC